ATTATAAAGGCAAAACGTCAGGAGTGACAAATTTAGGAGGTAATTGTTTCTTGGGAGTTGGCAAATTCTTTTCTCACAAGTACCAGACAGTAAATATTTTCAAGCTTTGCAGGTTATGGGATCTTTGTCACAAGTACTCAACTTTGCCATTAGAAAGAAGCCATAAACAATACCGAAATGAGTTTAAGTGTGGCCCTATTCCATTATAATTTTCTTTACACAAACAAGTAGTCTCAGCATTTGGCCTAGAAACTATTGTTTGCTGACCCCTGATCTAATTCCGTTAAGTCTTAGGGGTGTATTTTGCTGAGGGTATCTTCTCAAACTTAGGGATTTGCCTGACAATTGCTTCTTTTCTAAACCTGCTTAGCAACCAAAATATTTCAATATTTTAAACTCTTTCACATATAGCCTGAATAAAGAGCTCAATTTCCAAAGAATGAGTTCAATAAAGACTAATTTGTTATTCCTTGAACAAGTAAGTACACGGATAAGGGGAAGAACATTTGAGGAAGAGAAAAATAATGCCTGATGTACCTGAAAAAAAAAAAACAATTCCAGGATTCCACCTTCTTCCTGATTAAATGCCTTTCCACCATGACGAAGAAGACTTTTGTCTTTGTTCAATTTCCTTTCCATTATCCATTGCTTTCATTTAAGTTAGATCACCTAGTCAAACAAAATGTATCTAGTTTTCACCAGTTAAAAATAAACACAACTGGCTAGGCGCAGTGGCTCATGCCTGTAATCCCAGCACTTTGGGAGGCTGAGGCAAGTGGATCACGGGGTCAGGAGTTCAAGATCAGCCTGGCCAAGATGGTGAAACCCCATCTCTACTAAAAATGCAAAAATTAGCCATGCACAGTGGCAAGCGCATGTAATCCCAGCTATTTGAGAGGCTGAGGCAGGAGAACTGCTTGAATCCAGAAGGGCGGAGGTTGTAGTAAGCCAAGATTGAGATCGTGCCACTGCACTCCAGCCTGGGCGGTAGAGTGAGACTCCATCTCAAAAAAAAACAAAAACAAAAACAAAAAAACACAGTTAATTTCAAGTAACAGCTAAAACTCTAGAAAAGTTATTTCTTGACCAAAGATTATTCAGCTATTAAGAATGACATTTACAGCCAGGTGTAGTCATCTGCCTATAGTCCCTTGGGAGGCTGAGGCAGGAGGACCACCTGAGCCCAGGAATTTGAGACCAGCCTGGGCAACACAGTGAGACCCTCCCTTTAAGGAGGGGAAAAAAAAATGAAATTCTCTATTTCACCCTGCCACCAGACCAATTCCAACCAATGCCAGATGTCCTATGAAGCTGTGAGGAAAAAGTTTTTTCTATCTTCATAACATCTTTGAAAAATCCCGTTTCACTGATGTAGAGAGAACTGGAAACATTTAAAAAAAACAACAAAAATAAAAATTTTCCTTTAGGAACTAATTTACTTTTACGTAGTTGAGATTGGATTTAACCTTCTAGTATAATAAAAATGGCATGGGGTAGTTTGCAACTTGAATAAAATTAAATTCAACTTGGTTCAGAGGTAAATACGGTTCTGAGTAAAGAGAGAACAAGTCATTAGAAAGAGCCTTTCTGCCTAAGTACAGCATTATCTGTTCATGCCAATGCTATATTTTATACTGGTATTAGAGTTTAGAGAGAATAAAGGTACATCTTATAATGAAAACAGATTAATATACTTCTATCTCTCTTCTTTGCTGAGAATACTGGATAGCTCCTTTGCTACGTAAGTGCCACTCAATAAATGAAAACAGTCCCATTGTTTGCAGTTTCATGGCATTAAAGTACTTATGGATGATTTAGCTCTCATTACTAATGTAGTTCCCTTCACAAGGTAACATGTGCAAGTTAAGATTTGGTAATGAATTTTCAGCATCAGCCAAAGTCCATTTAGAACATCCTAAAGAGGTATCCTCTGTATACACACCAATATAGGTGTTCATTAATGTAGATAGAACATCAGTAACTCCTATGACTGATCCATCAGTGTTGCCAGCTAAGAACTAGGACAATGTCACAGTGAACCTGGGTAAGAATCTTGGATAGTTATTTAGAATAATGATATCTCTTTTAACTAAAATGGGGAAATTGTCTTCAGAAGTTTTAATTTGTTTAAAAGCTAGCCTGCCTTAAATTTTCATAAATTTCATGGCTCTGGCTAGGCCAATTAGGAGAGAACCAGCAAACATGATTGTGCTGAAGTGGTCCTAGATGACCAGGAAGCACCCTATTAACAGTATCAATATAGGAAAAAGCCATTTAAAGCGAATGAAAAGGGAGGGGAAACCCACCAAACATTCATAGCATTTCCACATGAATGAGACAGTCCCTACCTCACTTGTTTGTTGCTAACCCTTGATGGATAATTGACAAATGTTGCAAAGTTTCTCTTTACATAAATTACTGCACTTCACCTTTAAAATTTGGTAATAGTTTAAAAAGCTCCATTTCTCACATATAATCTAAGAAACTAACAAAGCAACAAAGAACTTTCCAGGCCAAGTTCACTGGCTCATGCCTGTAATCCTAGCACTTTGGGAGGTCAAGGTGAGAGGATTACTTAAGGCCAGGAGTTCAAGACCAGCCTAGGCAAATTTTGTAGAGACACCTGCCTCTATAAAAAAATTTTAAAATTAGCCTGGACATGGTGGTGCATGCCTATAGTCCTAGCTACCTGGAGGCTAAGGCAGGTGAATCGCTTGAGCCCAGGAGTTCAAGATTACAGTGAGCTATGATTGCACCACTGCACTCCGGTTTGGGAGATTAAAAGTGAGACACTGTCTAAAAAATACAAAAAAAAAAAAAAAAAAGAAAAGAAAAAAAGAACTTTCTAGCATACTATTTCTCAAAAGTAGGATGGACTTGAAGTTTTTTTTGGTAAGCTTAAAGGTTCCATCCAAAGCAGCATAATCTGTACTTCTTACCTCACTGCCTATTTAGTAATGGCAAACTGTCCACTGAAAACCTTATTACCAGTTGTTTCCCTAAGGATTTTAGTCTAATTCAGTTTTACCTTTTCTATGCCACAGAGCATAGCCAGTCCCTAAAGACGGCTTTAGAAGACAGATTTTACCCTATCATGCTGTTGCCCAACTAAAGAGGAGGATGCACCAATGTCTTCTAAAGATGAAATACAGTTTCAATGCTGCCTTTAAGGGTAGGCTCTTATTAAATGGTAGCATCATTATCTTCCCATAAAGATGCATTTCTATGCTTTTTCAGAAGAGAAAATAACCTTTCTCTTGAGAGAGGGTGCAGCTTTATGTACAATTCTCAGATTGCTTAAGATCTATCCTTTGCATTCTAATTTCTTATCACAAAGAAATTTCATTCTTTTCACATACCACACCTTTTCACATACCACAAAGCAATCTCAGGAAAAGAGCACATGATTAACATTCTCACAAATGGTTCACTAGTGCAGGTACAACCTGCCCCTCTCCCAAAGCTCTTTTACAATCATCTATGCCTCTGCATTGAAACAATTTCTTAACCATGACATACTTAAATACTTTAAAGAACCCCAACAGTTACTGCTCCATCAAGAGAAGCTCGAGGTTTTTCAACTTGCACTCTAAGTTATAAGCATCTATTTGCCTGCATCCCTTAATATTCCTCCTTCTCTCACTGCATGCAAGACAAGGTATCTAAAGTTCTACATGTTCGGTAAGTTCTTTCAGTGCTGGATTAAGAATCTTAGAAATACCCAGAATTACTAAAAAGGTCCCTTGAAGTCTTAAAAATCTTAGGAATGACTAAGTAACTAAACCTGATCAAAACTGATCCTTTGATCATTTATTGCAACATGATTCTGCATGATGTTTTCTGATAAGTGCCCTGTAGTATACTATTAAAAAGCAAAGCTCTTAGAGTCACCAGCTATTTGCTGATAGTTGGTTTATGAATTACTAGGTTTGCAGACCCGAGACATAGGTTTAAGTGAGGTTCTTCTATATGCCTGAAAATATAAACTATTACATATGTATAAGGAAATGAAATTGTGGTTGCAATAAGAACCATAGTGTTGAATTTCTTCAACCACAATACTGCAGAAAAAACATGTTTAAAACTTCATATAAAAGTTATCAAATAATGGAGACCTGTGGATTTAAAAATACAATCCAGGCTCATTTCACTGGAAAGTGACATTTTTGATGTACAATATTGCTGAATGTGAAAATAGGAGCCAAAGAGACTAGATGAAACTTTGGTAGTCAGCCTAACACATTAATTCACCTGAACTAGAGCCATTACTCAAGGATGTGTAGCACTATGGTTTACAAATACCAGTCAGGAATTTGCAGTACGGCTCTGTGCTGTTTGATATTTGCAAAACATAAAAACACTTCCCTCCCTGCTCTTCTCTTCCTCAACAACAATAAAGTCCCCAAATGTAGCAGTACCTATTGCATATGCTTTGCTGCTCATTTCACTTCCAGTTGCCAAGTGCTTCAGGTGATGCTGTCCACTAGAATACTGCTTTCAAGATGGCTGAATATATGAAATAACTAGGCAAAGTATTAGATGCCTAGTCAGGGCAAAGATAAAGTCTAACCTTTCAAAACAAGAACCACCAGCATTCGTTTTTTTCTTCAAACACAAAAATGCATGTTATGGCAGGGAAGGAAGAGGAGAAATTTCTCCTCTTCATCACCATCATGACTACCTCCTTCTCTCTTCTGGATGGCTGCTTCTGATGGTCGAGGCTCCTGCTGCATTTTTTAGATATGGGCAATTATAGCCACCAAGATGATATGGACCAAAGTACAGTGTTCAAACATGACTGGTAGATAAATGACCATTTATCATCGTTTTGTTAAAAAAGCTTTTTCTCTTATAAAGTTAACAAACCAAGGCTGTTGATCCCTGAATTAGAAAGGTGATTTGCTTGATTATTTTCCAAAGTATGAGCGGGAAATAAGAAGGGAAGAGCCTTTAGTGCTTTTGTGTATGTTGCTAATCCTCCAGTTTGGCAACATCTTGGGAATGCCTTCTGGCCTAGTGACATGGCATTTTGTAAATCTAAAGTATCAGCCCACGGCCCTGATGCTGGCTGCTTACGGCTCAAAGGGGAAGAGGGTCAGCCCCCTCCCCATCGATGTTTCAATCTGGCCCAGTGGTGGACACAGAGCCCTGGGCAGCTTCCCCAGGAGCAACTGTTTCTTCCTGTGAAGGTGACTCTTCCTCAGCTTGTCCTCGAGATGTGACAGTTGTTTCAGGGGAAATGCTGTGAGGCCCCTCCAGGGGTATACAGCCGGGGTGGTTTTTGCGAAAGTGCTGATTCAAGATGGCCTGGAAGGGGAAACTTTTGCCACAAACATGACAGTGAAAGGGCTTGTTGCCTGTGTGCTTGCGGATATGATACTCCAGCTGATCTTTCCGGGTATACTTCTTGCCACACATGCGGCAGACGAATGGTGTGATCCCCATGTGCAGGCGCATGTGGCGGTCCAGGCTTCCCTTCTGGTTGAAAGATTTGGCGCAGTAGATGCAGGTGAGACGAGGGTTGTACCGGAACCACCGCTCAGATACTTCCTGCTCTCGGAGATACTCCACATAGCCACTTACTCCCATCATTGCTGACTCTTCTACCTGTACCAGGTAAGGAAAATAACCAAGAAAGAACATATTATTAAGCATACATATCAAAAGCAATCAAATCTATTTTTACTTGTTACTAAGATATGCGTATATTTTTAGTGGAGAACCAAACATAAAATTAATTACTACCAAAAAGTGAAGATATGGCAACAATAATTTAAAAAGATTTGAGAATACTCTGTTCTATTACTATATAAAAGAACAACACAGTAAAGTTACTTTCTGTCTGACCAGTTGGATGTTTATTAAACCCCAGGTGAATGTACAGTAATCTGAGGAGAATCTGAGCCCACTTACACCATACCCTGGATCTTAATCTTACAATTATATTCTAGACAATCAAGTACTTAGGCAGTGCTGGTCTAACAGAACTATCTGTTTTTGTTTTTAAACGGGATCTCTCACTCAGGCTAGAGTGCAGTGGTATGATACAGCTCATTACAGCCTCAACCTTCGCAGGCTCAGTTTGATCCTCCTACCTCAGCCTCCTGAGTAGCTGGGACCACAAGCACGCACCACCACTCCCAGATAATTTCTGTACTTTTTGCAGAGATGGGGCTTTGCCATGAATTCCTGGACTCAAGCAATCTACCCGCTTTGGTCTCCCAAAGTGCCGGGATTACAGGTTTAAGCCACGACGCTCAGCCAGAACTATCTATGATGATGAAAATGCTCTATAACCTACCCCATTCATTACAGTAGTCACCAGTCACCTGTGGCTATTGAGTATTTGTAATATGGCTAATACAACTGAGTAATTTTTACAATTTTAAGTGCTTTCAATTGCAATTTAAATTTAAAAAGCCACGTGACAAGTGGCTAATGGCTACTATTTATTATATCAGATAGTATAGAATATATAATGACAAATATATTATAAATTATGACATCATTAATACCACATTATAATCTAGCAGTAGCTACCTTTATAAAAATACATATAATTTATAGGTGACAGTATTCTCTTTATCTAAAAATATTTCAGTATCTTATTAACATATTATTTTCACTCTAAAGACTATTGAAAGTTTAACTGACCTCAGAGTCAATTGTCTGAGGGCATGGGTTTCTCCTCTCTGAAAACTGGGAGGAAGAATGAACATATTCTTTTCAATAAATAACTTAAAAATCCTGGATTTAAAGCCAGATGTGGTGGCTCATGCCTGTAATCCCAGCACTTTGGGAGGCTGAGGTGGGAGAATGACTTGAGCCCAGGAGTTTGAGACCAGCCTGGGTAGTACAGCAAGACCCCATATCTACAAAAAATAAAAATAAAAAAATGAGCTGGGTGTGGTGGTGCGCACCTGTAGTCCCAGCTCCTTGGGAAGGCTGAGGTGTGAGGATCGCTTGAGCCTGGGAAGTTGAGGCTGCAGTGAGCTGTAATCATGTCACTGCACTCCAGCCTGGGTGACAGAGCAAAACCCCATCTCAAAAAAACAAACAAACAAGACCTTGGATTTAGAAATGCTTTTGTTCAAAATTCTGTATTAAAAAAATCAATCAGAAATTACTTATTTTTTTACCCTGACAATAATAACTAACTTCTAAAGTCATTAGGAGAATAAAACCCTTTTTAAATATGTAGGCAGGAATTATACATGTTTAACAGAGGCTAAAGTACCAATGCAAACAGAAGAAAATGTCAAAGTTGACTTTGGAGTAACTAGAGCAAGATTCATCTAGTTAGCAATTAATCTCTCTGCGACTGTTCCCCTAAAATAGACAATATAGAAAATCTTGTGCCCTTTTAATTCTAAAAATGTGTTTTGTCTCCTCCTATTCTGATGGTGCTATTCAGCATTTTCAGTAGAGGTGTGGGAAGCAGTACATAAAGTCAAGGGTTGAGTACTAAGACTGAGGTTTAAAGATTCTTTTCTGAATTGTTTTATATTGATTTTTTTTCAGTTTCATTTCCCTGGAAAATAAAAGCTGAATTCACATAAAGAATGAGGAATCATCCCACTAAAGGGTGACCAAGGATGAAACATAGAATAACTTCTCTAAGGCTGTTTTCTCATCCATAAGGTACAAAGGTTATCATATGATTTGCGAGCTTTAGAGAATTCTCATGAGAACTGAACTGGTAACAGCACTCTTTTTTTTCTAAAAACAATGGTAACTTTTAGGACCTATATTCTGAATGCATAATATTACATAGCAATTAAGGATGCTGAAACCTGGGTTCAAATCTGAGTTCTATTTATTGTGTGACTTGGAGCAAGTTAGTTAGCTCTTCTATTCCTCAATTTCCTCACCTGTAAAGTGAATACAATAACAGCATTTCGCTCACTAGTTGCTTTGAGCATTGTGAATGAGTTAATACACTGAAGTGCTGAATAAATGTTAGCTATTATTAAGCATTACGAAGTCATATTACTTATAATCTTGAGGGTAACAATACCCTAAGAAATCTCCCCAAATCTAAGGAAGGTAATGTCATACTACTATTGTCCACATGCTGAAAGTAAATGCACTTTAGTAATCAGTGATAAACTGTAAGCACAACAATCACACATTATGATCAGTCTCATCCAAAAAATTACTGCAGTGAAATTGCAATAGAAGAACAAATACCACAAAATATAGATTGGGTCCTTTTCAAAGGCAAACATGGTTGCCCCCGGTTCTCTATGTTGCCAAGAGGTAGATTATTTCACTCCTCTCACCAGGCAATTACCTACTAGATTGTAAACTCAGTTGTAAACATAGGGACATTCTGCACTGCCAAATATCTAGGAATTTGATCAGTGTTTGGCTCAATAGCTATTTCTGAATGAATTATTCCATATAATAAATAAATTCCATATAAATGAAAGGTTTCCATCTTTTCTAAAACAAACATCAAGCTAGATACTTGACATGGACTTCAAAGCGTTCTACCATTCTAATTTTCAGTTACTAACCACAGACTCACAGTTAACTAAAGGGCCTTAAAAAGTCATCTGACTTGGCTGGGCGTGGTGGCTCACGCCTGTAATCCAAGTACTTTGGAGGCCAAGGTGGGCAGATCACCTGAGGTCAGGAGTTCAAGACCAGCCGGATCAACATGGTGAAACCTCGTCTTAAAAAAAAAAAATTATCTGACTTGATGTATTGTTCTTGAAAGATCTCCAAAATTAAGTATTTTACAAGTAACTAAATAACTCCCTATTTAGCAGATGCCTATTTACTGGGCAACTACTAGGTAAACTTAGTTACTTATAATCTAAACTTTATCACTTAAGAGATAAAAGAACTCCTATTAATCAGGCACCTAAGAAGATAGTTTCAGAGACACAAAGATTAGAAAATGTGGTCAGTCTCTCAAACGCAATTAAAACGCACTTGGATAGCGTCCGATCCTACGTTCTTGTTTCCCAAAAGTGCTCACCCTACACCCCGCTAATTACTGTATTTGGGCTTTGTCGGCTTTCACTGACTTGGTAATTCCTAGGTGGCCTAGTTTGTGTAAATATAATGTACTGGTCTTTCTCCATGTTCTTTTTTGAGATAGGGTCTTGCTTTGTTGCTCAGGCTGGAGGCAGTAAAGTGATCTTGGCTCACTGCAACCTCCGCCTCCTGGGTTCAAGTGATTTTCCTGTTGCAGCCTCCCAAGTAGCTGTGATTACAGGCACCTGCCACCATGCTTGGCTAATTTTTTCTTTTTAGTAGAGACAAGGTTTCTCCATGTTGGTCAGGCTGGTCTCGAACTCCTGACCTCAGGTGATCTCCCTGTCTCGGCCTCCCCAAGTGCTGGGATTACAGGTGTGAGCCACTGTGACCAGCCTAAACCTATTTAATCTTTAATCCTAAAGTGGAGAGAAGCAACTGAGGGCCTTCCATGTAGAAAGTAGGGTCAAAATGCCAAGAAAAAGAATAAATGCTGAATAAATGTTTTTTTCTTTTTTTTGAGATGGGAGTTTTGCTCTTCTTGCCCAGGCTGGAGTGCAGTGGTGCGGTCTCAGCTCACTGCAATCTCTACCTCCCGGGTTCAAGCGATTCTGCTGCCTCGGCCTCCCACGTAGCTGAGATTACAGATGCCCACAACCATGCCCAGCTAATTTTTTGCATTTTTATTAGAGAAGGGATTTCACCCTGTTGGCCAGGCTGGTTTTGAACTCCTGACCTCAGGTGATCCACCCGTCTCGGCCTCCCAAAGTGCTGGGATTAGAGGTGTGCACCACTGCACCGAGCCCAAATGTTGAATTTATATCCAAGTCATTCAGGAATTTTTTTACAGGTGTAAAAAACTTCTGTCAAAGTGGCCACAAGATTGCTTAATAGGAGATGAACAAATGTAACTTCATGTTTACCACTAGAAACTAAAGCTTTATGTGAAATCTTGAATTTATGAGGGAGGGAGGGAGGATAAGAAAGTCTGTACCTGTCTGTTCTTTTCCTAGTCCCTTGCCCTCATTCCTGAACTGCAGGAGACAAAGCCTCTTTGGGCTTTGGTGACCCCATCGCTGGGGTGTGTTTATTTGGTGGTTGACTTTGCTGTACTTGGTACTTCCTTGCTCATTTTCTAATCATTCTGTAACACATGCTGACCCTTTCCCCTTCCCTTCTCCTTTCGCTGGGAAAATACAATGAATAAACAAAGAGTTATTGGTATTAAAACTGTCAAAAAAGCAAAAACACAAAAGGAAAGAAAAGGTGGATTCTGCTCTCAAGGAGATTTCAGTTTAACAGGAGACACAAAACTAATGCAAATTAAAAAGGAACAACATATATGAGTCCAGTGAATTTGGAAAAATTGTATTGTACTATGTTATAATAGCAGCCAGGGAAGAAAAAAATCAAAAGAAGACTGGAGCAGTTAGGGCAGATAAAACCAGGAGCTGGGCCTTGGATGAACCCAGACACCTGAAAAGAATGAGGTATTCAGACTTTAGATGCAGAGAGAGAAATAAGTTTAATGTGGTTCTGATACATGGAGAGTCTACCTGTTTGAGACGGTGAATGCTGATGAGTGGTGGGAAAAGTTGGGTTAAAAAGATTGTAAATTACTT